AGCGTCTTTGGGACCCGGCTTGGTGCCTGACCCACGGAAGGTGCTCCATGAAAGTTGGTGGCTGAGCAAATAGCTTTCCAACCAATGGCTGTTTGGAAGCAGTGTGTAAATAACTTTGGCTAACAAAGATGGTTCAGGATCCGACTGAGTCTTTGGCTCAGAGCCATGGGGTGAGCTGAAGGCAGAACAACTCTTTTCCTCTCTGTTTTTTATTTAATAAAAAAGTCAAAGCTACAAAAATGTTGAAAGGAAAATACAGTGAACTTCTGTATTTCCTGCACTAAGATTCACCAAATGCTAACAGTTTGTTACGTTTGCTTGACATTGTGTCATAGATTGTCCACATTCCATGTTTGTTGGATCGTTTCCTTGTGATTAGATCGGTGTTAGCATTTTTGGTGGGAACCCCTGTTGCTTCACCTCAGGAGGCATGATGGGGCCAGTTACACCCAGTAAAGGTGATGCTGATAGCTTTAATTACCTGGTTAAGGTGGTGTCTGTGAAGGCTACTTTTGTTTTAAGGCAGAGGACTTTGGAAGGAACTTTTCACTGACTTTTGGGAATAGCTGACAGCCATTTTGAAAAGAGACTGAAAAAAAAGAAAAGAAACTGTTTCTCTGTCAGTTGTAGCTGCTATTGGGAAACATCTTGGTGTAGTTAAAAAGGTCCTGGGAGCCAGGAAACGGGGATTTGGGCCCAAGCTCTACAACCATCTATCCCCATGATTGTAGACAGGTTACGTCATGTCTCTGGGCTGAGCAATTGTACGTATAAGGAACTAGACTCAGAGAGGTGAAGCAGTTTGCCCAAGGCTGCTCAGCTTAGTGAGTGGCAGAGCTAGGATTCAAACCCAGTTCTGTTTGGGCCAAAGCCCTGCCCTTGCTGTTGTGCCGAGCTGCCTCCTCCGAAGTGGCTGGTCATCATTATAGTCTCACCAAGCCCTAGGCACTAGTGCTGGGAGCCAAACAGAACACCAACCCTTGTAGGATCTGAAGTGGGAGAGAAGGTACATCTGTCTCACCCAGGTTCCTCTCCTGCACGAGGCAGGCTGTTTGGTTGGTTGGAAGGCCTGGGCACCTCAGGCAAGCTGGTAGGCGGGCTGTTGGACAGTCTTCGGTGACCTTTGGAATAAATGCTTTCGTGCATGTGTTACAAAGGTGAGCTGCTGGCACCGTTTCAGCCCACGCCTGCCCAGACAGGGAAGTACAAGAGTCATGTACCTGGCCCTGGCCCATGTTTTGGATCCCCAAACTGGCCTGTGAATCCCAAGGGCGATCCAGATGGATGGAGGAAGGTACTGCCACAGTGTCCCTGGGTTTCTGGGGGGAGGGAGACAGGAAGTATTAAGAGGGGAAAAGTGTGCAGAGCCTTGCCAAGCAGGTCGCTGTGGGTGGGGAGACACCGCCTGTGTGCTCTGGGTGCCCCAGGATTTGGGTGGAGGTTCTAGAGGAAGCAGGCAGAAAGGAGGGCCGTGGCAGCGACTCAGGAGTGCTCCAGGCCTGCTCCTGCCAGCCTTCTGCTCTGGTGGCCCACCAGCCCACCCACCTGTCATCTTCCCAGTTAGCAGCTCTCCCCAAGGCAAGTAGCACCTGAGTACTTGGTGAGTAGTGTCGGTTCCCCATGCTACCCTGGTATCCTTCCCCAGAGCAGTTGTTTTGGGGAAAACAGTGGCTCTGGCTCAATCAGGATGTGGTTTGTCAAGGCCATGTTGTCCTGTTGCTGTAGAGCTAAGAGTCCAGGAGAGTCAGCCTTCCCACGTTCCAGCTGCTTCTCCCTGCATTGTTTATCCTCACAGGCCTCCAGGGAAGGGGCTGAATTCAGGGCCAGGGCCAAAGTGGCCTGACAAGGAGCAGGCTGTGCTATGTGGGCCCTGAGAGGAATCCTGGGGAGTCCTGCCCTTGGTTCATGGCCTCCTCAGGCCTTGCATCTTGGAGAGACCCCCAGGGCTCTGGCAGCCAGGTAGGCAGGGGCAGAGGGTGCCCCTCGGGAGAGAGAACCCCAGAGGGAAAGTGTGTTTACAGACGGACTCCCCATCTTCACTGGTTGGACATTCAGGAAACAGTAGCAGTGCTTTACTTGATTCTTTCGAGGAGGAGCCCCTTCTCCCTCCCTTCAGACAGGGCTGAAATCCCATACTAGGGGCCTGACGTGACCCCAATGTGTGAGGCCTTCCGCTCTCTCAATGAATTCCCTGAGTGTCATCACTAAGTCACTCCCGCCTCAGCATTTCCCCATCTCCCCGCATACCCTTCCTCCTGGCTCTGAGGCCTGAAGAGTGAGATTGCAGCTTCTTGACCAGCTTTCTCGCTGAGTGCTCTTGCAGGCTGTCCTGCAGGCATAAAATCCAGAAGCTGCTGTCAGAACGATAGGAGAATTGGCAGGTGAGGGCTTGGGCCAATTTTCTGACTCTCCAAGGTGCTTTAAGGTTTAAAAAGTCTGTTCTAGGCTCCCTGAGATTTGAATACTCTTGTTTTAGTTGTCCATTCACTCCCTCACCTCTAGTTCTCCCTTTCCTCTTTTGGGGACTTCATGCTTTTCAAATATTTGTTAACGTGGCCCTTATCTGAGACTTTAGAAAGCAACCACTTGAAAAAGGAAAGGGAGAACAGAAAGTGAGTACTAAAGTCTTTTTATTTTATTTATTTATTTATTTATTTTGGTGAGGAAGATTGGCCCTGAGCTAACCTCTGTTGCCAATCTTCCTCTATTTTATATGTGGGTCACCCCCACAGCGTGGCTTGATGAGCGATGTATAGGTCCGCGCCCGGGAACCCACCAACCCTTGGCCGCTGAAGCAGAGTGTGTAAACTTAACCGCTACGCCACCAGGCCAGCCCTAAGTCTTTGAGACCCAACACCAGGGGAGCTTTGCTTCCTCTGGTGTCAACATTCACCTTTAGTTCCTGAGCTGGTTTCACTCAAGTGAGATCCAGAGTTTTTGTTATGGACAAAGCAGGAAGTTTCTGAAGGAGACTCCTGACTCTTCTACTCAGCTTCTGTTGCAAAAGACATTGATGCTTGTTTTAAAAACAGTTGCAACTACAAACATGTAAAAACTATTAATCTACCTCCCAGCACACTCCTCCTTCCTTCCCTCCCATTCCAGACTGTTTTCCCCTCACAATTGTTTATGTTGTTGGGCAAGTGTGTGTTAGCTCTGTGTTGTTGTCTTAAACAAAATGGGCATGAGGCAGATGTGCAGTTCTGCCACTTGCTGTTTCCTCCCATACGGCCATCCTGCCATGGCTCCACATCTGTGCCACCTGCTGCTCTTGAGGGTCTGCAGAAAATTCCATGACATGGATGTGCCAGAATGTTGCATCTTGAAAGAGATTCTTGAGCCTTTTCTGCTTCATCTTGCTGCTCTCTAAAATAATGATATCTCATGTTTGTATCATGCTTTTTAAAACCTTTTTTTTCTTACTAAACACAGCACATATTCATTACAGAAAATTTAGAAAAGTCAGATAAACAATAACAGAAAAAATAAAAATCGCCCCTAAGAGGGGCCAGCCCTGTGGCGTAGTGGTTAAGTGCGCACGCTCCGCTTCGGCGGCCCGGGGTTCCCAGGTTCGGATCCTGGGTGTGTACCAACGCACCGCTTGTCAAGCCATGCTGTGGTGGCGTCCCATATAAAGTGGAGGAAGGTGGGCATGGATGTTAGCCCAGGGTCAGTCTTCCTCAGCAAAAAGGAGGATTGGCATCGGATGTTAGCTCAGGGCTGATCTTCCTCACACACAAAAAATAATTACCCCTAAGAGATACCCATCATTAACATTTTGGCATATAAATTGTATAATACAAATGTTTTTCACATTTAATATCTCATTCAAGTCTTGCTGCCTCCATTAGGGAAGACATCTGTGTGTTAGTCCCATCTCAGAGATGGGAAAACTGAGCCACAGAGAGCTTAGAAGGTTGCCCAGAGGTACAGAGTGTAGTAATGACAGAGCTGGGATATACTTATCATGCAGCACTAATGCACTTTCCACCATATCCCACTATCTTCTCACCTCCCGATAGAGAGGAGGGGTGCTGGGGGTCTGGATTTCAGCAAGGCCTCGGCAGTCCTTGTAATTTGTTGAATTGCCTCGTCCAAAATTTAATAAACAGATGACGCCTAGAGGAAAGCATCTCATGACACTTTGGCCCCTCATTGACTTAGGAGAAAAGATAGAAGATGTGCTCCTCGGATTTAAAGTATTCCAATGCATTAGCTTCATCTTGATTATTGGAGTTTTAGGAGCTACACGTTAAGAGGGCATGATAAACTAAGGAAGAGGAGAGATGGGGAAACTGGCAAGTGACAGGTGCTGCAGTGACTGAGAGGTTTCACCTGGAGATGATGGCTTTGAGGAGAAAGAAGCTGCGGGCTGAGACTTGGTGACCATAGGCCAGGCAGGACAGGACTAGGGGTGGAAGTTAGTTGGAGGGAGGGTTCACTCACCAGGATACGGGAGACTTTTTTGCAGTAGAGGAGCGCAGGAATGGAAGCGAGGGACAATACAGTAGAGTGGGTGAGAAGGCCCACCCTGAAGGCAGACTGGGTCCTGGCTCTGCATCCTGGCTCGGGTCCTGAAAATTCCTTTACTCTCCTTGCTCCGGTTTTCTCATCTGTAATTGGGGATGATAATAGTACCTGCTTCGTAGTCCTCACTTGTGAAGCCTAAGTGAATCACTATACGTAAGGAGCTTACAGTAATGCCTGGCTCAGAGAAACGCTATGTACTTTGTAGTTCAAGCAGAATTTGAGTAGGCTCCCCGTAAGAAGAATGTAGGAGATTTTCTGCGTGCGTTCGCCTGTGACCTGCTTCCCCAGCCTTTTCTGGTCCCTGCCACCCTGGTCTGCTGTGTCTCGCTCCACCTCCCTCTCCTGGACCTGGGATCCTGCATTTCCCCCAGCTGGAATACCCTACTCTTCAGTCTGCCCACTCCCCAATTTTATTTTCTTCTCTGAACTCTTTTAAGTGTTTTCTCTAATGAGCGTATTTTACTGTTAAGGTCATTTCTGGATGACCCAGCTCTCCTCCGCCTTGAACCTTCCCTGAGGCCTCCAGCAGAGCCCATTTCCTCCTCCTCAGCGTTCAGCCACCCTCCTCCCCTTCTCCCATTTGTGTACAGCCTTCCCTGTGGTAGTTGCAGGTACTGGTCTTATCTTCCTCCCTTTCTGGAGTGTAAACAATTTAAAGGCACCTAAGGATTTGTCACCACCTCCCCACCCCCTACCCTGAGGCGAGCTGAGGCTGGGGAATGACCAAGGCCTCCTTCCATTGAGTACTATTCTTGCAGTCTGCTCAGTGAGAGGATTTTAGAGTCAAAAGGGGGATAGAAGCGCCCAACACTTCCTCCCCATGGAGAAAATGAAGCCCAGAAAAATGAACCACCTCCGCTAAGGTCACCTGGCAGATTAGCCAAAGAGCCAGCCCAGATCACAGCTAGGCTCCTCAGCCAGCTGTTTCTGGACTCCCTGGTTTCGTCTCCATTGCATTTCTACCAATTTATCATAATCCTCATGAGCTCCTCTTTTGACTGGAAAGGTCTGGAGAGCAGAGTTGGATGCCCCTGGAAAACTGAAGCCCAGGGACAAATGATCTGTACAGGGCTGCTTCAGGCTGGGGCCATGAACAGAAATCTTTTTTCCAGTTATAAAAGGTTGTTCATTTATTCAACAAATATTTATTGAGCAGTTTACTATCTGCCAGTCACTCCTCTAAGACATGAGGATCAACGTGAGTCTAACAGATGAAAATCTCTGCCTTGTGGGGTTTATATTCTTTTGAGGAGAGACAAGCAGTAAACAAATGAGAAAAAAAATACACACACCTATATGTGTGTGTGTGTACATATATGTACACACACACGCACATACATACTATTCCAGATAGTGGTAAGAGCTGCAGAAAAAATTAAAGCAGAGAAGGGAAATGGAGTACCAGAGAGTGGGCTGGGGTGGTTTTAAATAGGATGGTCAGGTGAACTGTCACATTTGAGCAAAGCCGTAAGGAGATGAGGCAGCAAGCCACGTAGATAGATACCTGGGGGAAGAACATTTTCAGCTGGAGGGAATAGCTGCAAAGGCCCTGAGGCAAGATATGCCTGCTGTGCTCAGGACCAGCAAGGAGGCCATGTGCCTGGTGCATAGTATACCAGGAGAGGAGTAGTAGGCAGGAGCACCAGTTCCAGAAGGCCTTGCAGGCCAGTGTAAAACTGGACAGGAAGCTCCTGGAGGGATTTGATCACAGGAGGGACAGAATCTGACTTAAAAGGATCACTCTGACTGGTGTGTGGAGAGTAGTGGGGTGAAGCCAGAAGCAGAGAAGCCAGTTAGGAGGCTGTTGCAATAATCCAGGCAAGAAATGATGTTGGCTTCTCCCAGGGTCATAGCAGTGGAGGTGGTGAGAAGTGATTAGATTCTGGGTATTTATTAAAGGCAGAGCCATCAGATTGGCTGACTCCAGCATGTTGGCCTGGCCAACTAGAAGGTTGGAGTTGCCATTTACTGAGATAGGAAAGACCTTGGGGGGAAGGCCAAGGGTTTGGTTTTGGATGTGTTAGCCTTGTGATACCATTGGGCATCCATGTGGAGATTTCAGAGAAGCTGGGACTGGAGAAATAAATATGGGAGTCATCAACGTATTGAAGGTATCAAAAGCCACGAGCCAGCGTAAGATCATGCAGGGAGGGAGCGTAGATGGAGAATGAAAGAGACCTTTAGAGATTGGGAAGAAAATTGCTGACTGGGACCAGCAAAGGAGATTGGTAAGGAGCAGCCAGTGAGGTCAGAGGAAAACCTGGGAGCCAAGTGAAGAAGAGGTGTTAAGGAGGAAGGATCCAACAGTGTTCACATGATCTGATGGGTCAAGTAAGATGAAGATAATACATGCTCGGTACAGAAAGTTTAAAAAGTACAGCAACATAAAAACAATAACCTACCACTTTGTTCATACAGGGAAACTTCTCATTTTTTTCTCTACTCATTTTTATGGAAATTATGCTGTATAGTTTTGTATTCAGCTGTTTTTCACTTAACAAGCTATTAAATATTCTATGAAAACTTGAGTTTAGTGGCTGGATAATACTCCATTTTCTGAGGGTGCCCTAATTTATTTAACAATTCCTTTATTACTGGGCCTTGAGTCATTTCTTTTTCATTATTATTAATGTTTTTCATTATTATAAAAATTGATTTCGTTATTATAAACAACACTGCATTGAACAGCCCAGTACATTTTCCTGTGAGGGGAATTACAAGGTCAAAGGACATGTACACTTTTGGATGAGGCTTGAACTTGGGAGCCAGTTTCTCCTGGAGAGCTGACTGATCCTGGCTTAGCTGTAAGGTTCTTCTGTGTCTCTTCTCCCCTTGGAGAGGTTCAGAAGTCACTCAGCGCTGCTGACCCGTGTTTCTGCCTTCCCCCCTCCAACTGTGAGTCCCATTTCTCCTGGGCCAGTCAGAGTTTCCTTCCCTCTTACTAGGCCTGGCCACTCCCTTGGTGCACTGCCCCTTTCCTTGCCACCAGCCTCTGTCCCTTCACCCAGTTTGTGCGTATGGCCAGCAGGAGTTAGTTAGAGCTTCCCTCAGAGGGTCATTGTAGTGTTAAAATGAAATAACCCATTGTAGGTGCTTAACACACATTAGTCCTGTTCGCCCTCCTGTCACTGGGTCAATTAAATGAGATTATGTACATGAAGGTGCTTCCTGAACTTTAAAGGGGTGGCCGATGTCCTAGTCTTATTTGTTTAAAAAGAAGAGGGTGTGAGTAGTGGTGTCTAGTCCGTGGCCTGTGTAGCTAGCTCGTAGAGCAGGGCCACTGATCCACAGGTTGGTGTGCTGCTCTCGAGAGCTGTGTGTCAGAAGTTAGGGGACTTGGATAGAATCGTCAGGCCCAGGAATGTGCCTGTTCGTATCAGTTGGCCTCCTGCCAAGCAGTGCCAGATGCCACGTCTGCTCCCCAGATATGTGTGTGCCCTAGCTGGGAATCACTCAGACCAGAACAGTGCTGGGAGGCTGGAGCCAGGGGAGGTCAGAGCGGGCAGGGGCCTTGGAGATCCTCTGATCTGACATTTTACTCAGTGAGGGCACAGGTGGGGTGGTGGAGAGGCACTCAGCTCTGCCTCATGCCTTGATTCCTCAGCCTGGATCCTTCCAGGAACAGGACAGGCAGCTGCTTCCTAGACCCAGCCTTCCAGGGCTCTAAGAGGTGGCCTTCTTCCTCCTGCCAATGCCCCAGCTGGGTTTACTGTGACCCTGGCCTCTCAGAGCCCTGCTGAAATCATCTCCATTCTGCCCTCCACAGCAGACAGAGGAATTCTTTTTTAAATGCAGCTCTGATCCTGCCCATCCTCTTCATAACCTTCCCAGGCTCTCTACTGCTCTTCAGATAAACACTCACATCCTTAACTTGCCCATTGAGGCCCCAAGTGATGTCCAGTCTCAGCTAGACCAGCCTCCCTGCCCTCTCAGCACACCAGCCACACGGCCCTTCTTTCTACCCCTTGGAGGGTCCATGCCGTCCTCCTCCTTCCTCGGGCCTCTTCACATCACTCTTCCCCCATTGTCCTGTAACCCTACAAGCCTGCTTCTCCATCAGAGTCCGTGTTCTCAGGAACACCTCCCCTGACCACCCACTCTAGGCTAGTGCGCTCTGAGTGTGCCCCCACTGCACTCAGCGTTTGTCCTTCAGAGCTCTGGTCATCGTTCACAGTTATGTATTTGTGTTGGTTTCTTGAGTGATGTAGCCTGGCACATGATGCTAGGTGCTTAACAAACATTGGTTGAACGAGTGAATGAAAGCAGCTGGCGGGGACCAGAAGAAGAGTGGTGGGGCATTGATGGCATCAGCAGGCATGAGCACCTGAGGTCCTCAGATGCGAAGCAGTCTGGAAAGGTCCCCTGGTGTGGCCCTCTGCCTGCTGGCACAACCACCCTTACCTCTGAAGCCTTCTCTGAGTGGTGATGGTCCTCAGCACCCTTAAATCTTCTGGTAGGAGAGATCTGGATCTCTTCTGGAACCTGGGCAGGCCTTTCTTTTACTTCATCAGTCTCTCTCAGCCTGTTAATTCGGTTTTCTTTCTTCAAAACACTTTTTAAAATGTTTTTCCCTTTTCCCCCCATCATAAAAGTATCTCATGCTCTTTGTAAAGAATTTGGAGAACACAGAAAAGTGGAATTAAGAAAATAAGAATCACCTATACCACTACCCCAGCGAGAAAAAAACCATTAGCATTTTGGGCCATGTCTTTCCAGTTTTGTTTCTATGCATTATGTACATGTTTTGACATCATTGAGATTCTATTGTTTGTGAAAACTGTAGATATTTGGTATCTCCTTAGCCTTTAGTGGCTACACTTAGAGGCAGTTGGGCTGGGAGAGTTGATGGCTGGTGCCTCTCCCCTTCTGCGGGCGGGCGGGCGGGCACACTCAGGGCCCCGTGCTGATCCCGGGTGCAGAGCCCTCTTTCCCACTCAGATCTCTTCTCCGAGCACATTTTCAGTAGCTCCCTGAAGCCTGCTTTACCTTTTGTTTTAGTTTAGCTCCACTCCACGGGGTTTAGGGACTCTCTTGGTGGAAATGGAGGAATTAGAGAGTGTGAGGAGCTCCATGTAATCCCCTGAGGCGAGCCAGCAGTAATGATAGTCGCAGCAGCCACAGTGCCTATTGGTTGGGCATTTACTATGTATCCAGCACTGTCAAGCAGTTGCTGTTTGGTTATTTAATCTTCACGATGACTGCTCGGGTTAGGTGGTAGTATCCCACTCTCCTGGCTGTCTTTTCTCTGGTTCCAGCACCCTTTCAACAAAACCAGCCCCAGGCCACTCCTGGGGGTTGGCTTCAGGTGACCTGCTGGGGTGAATCCATTTCAGCAAGAAGGCCACACAGGCCTCTCTTGTGCCCTGAGGGAATGGGGTGACCTGAATTGGCAAATGGGGAGCTCCACAGAGAGCTCTGTGGAGTTGCTGGTCTGGAAAACCAGGGCACTGGGTCAGCACCCGGGTTAATGATTGATTGGAAAGCTTGGAAGAGAACCAGCCAAGCCCATTCTCCTATGGCCTCCCTCACTGCTGCTCCTGAAAGCACTTGCCGGGGACATGGGGCAACCTCTGCCCTTTATCTGGAGGCTGCTGACCCTCCTCCCCCTGTAGTGGGGGGAAGGAGGAAATGATAGCAGCTGGGTCAGCTGCACTGGCG